GTTGCATCTACACTGAATCACAGAGCCAGCACTATTTGCACGGAACTATCAGATATAGAACTAAGTTTCATTCAAGATATTCTGAAACAAAGTGGTTATTCAGAATCATTTTTAGAAACATGCTTTTACACACACACAAAAAAAAAAAAAAAAACATGAAATCGCAGAAACTAGGATTACCCTTCCTTATGTTCAAGATCTGGGTAAAAAATTATCTACTTTTTTCTATGATATTTTGTTGCAACTTAATGATAATAGTTGTTATTTATAAAAATCAAATGCTGTTTATCATATTGGTTGTAAATATTGGAATATTAAATACATAGGGGGGACTAGACGGCAATGGAGGGGGGGAGCAAAAATGATAAAGTTTAGAGTTTGCTTTAGCTGAACATGTTTCTTTAGCAGATCATATTATTGATTGTAAGAATTATCAAATTTTATATATAGAGCAAAAACATATCTGCAGGAGATTTTTAGAAGGATGGCATGTAACAAATGCAGGTTGATACTTCCTTGCTCATGCGTAAAAATCCGTATTACTGATTAAGAACAAACTAGATGGAGCTGTTTAAATATAAGTATTCATGTAACTGCCATAATTAGTCAGAATCTTGAGACTGACTGTCGACTGTAGTGAAAAAGTCAGGCTTTAGCTATTCCTTTCGCTCGTGTGATTTTGAATTTACATTCAACTGCTAATCTCACCCTTCCATAAATAGCTTATAATATTCATTTAGTTATGTATATTCAGGCATTTTCCCTACATTTGCATGCAGATGTTTTGCATACAGTTAATAACATTGTTGTTAACCGGATGTAAAATGGTCACATATTTCGATGTTCATTCATAAAGTTTATGTAAACATGGTTTTATTTCTGTAACAGACCCCTGTAGAGTGGGGTTTTACCAATTCCATGTGATGATATAGATTTGTACAAGTGGAGTGTTTATCTTTATTGAATATATGTATTTGGAAGGATTATTGGTGTAGATAACCTAAAGATTGTAGGATACCACACTAGGATCCTGGTCTGCCTTGAAATTGTCATAATTCTATACTTGGTTTTTGTATTGTCTAAACGTTTTTGGAACCTTTTTCTTCTAGATTCAACAGCCAAGTTTAGTCAATCTGTGAAACACTGAAGCTGGCCAGTAAGCTAAGGTTTGGTTTAAATTTCGCGCAAAGCTACACATGGCTATCTGCGCTAGCTGTCCATAATTTATTAGTGCAAGACTAGAGGGAAGGCAGCTAGTCAGCACCACCCACCGCCAACTCTTGGGCTACTCTTTTACAAACGAATAGTGGGACTGATTGTCATATTATAACGCCCCTATGGCTGAAAGGGTGATCATTTTGGGAGGGGGATGGGGATTCAAATCTGTGACCCTCAGATTGTGCGTCAAGCGTCTTAACCTCCTGACCAATTAAGCTATGACTTACATTATTGAGGAATAAATACTATTTTGTTTGCACATACATGTTTTTGCATTTTCTTTGGTGTCTATGGTTTAAATGTTCTCCACAAAATTTAAAAAAAAACTGGATTTTGTGGGTACTTAGTTGTTTTAGTTTCATTAAATTATCGTTATTATAGTAATGTAGTATAGCTATTTACTTAGGAATGTTGTAATATTTTATTTTGCTTAAGATGTTGAAGATGGATTCTGTATAATTCCGAAACGTTAATCAGTGCCCCCAACAACAACGTTGCGTTTCTTAAATATCGTTAACCTTTTTATTGTGAAACTTCGTTTTCTCTGATTGGTTGTTTGTTTGGCCTTTTTTGGCCCAAAGCAACTAGGCTATCTACACAAAACAACCAGTATAAAAACAAAAAGTAAAACTCTATGAAAAGTTAAAAAAAAATCAAGTTAAAAGCTAAAAAAAGCCCAAAAATCAGGTTAAAAAACTTAGACACAAAAAGACCAATGACCCATAAAACTCTAAAAATTCAATCAAGCTAGACAGTGTCACCATCACCTGTGACACTGTCCAACATCAGGAGTAAAACTTGAGAAAAAACATGTCGTAACAATGGCACGAAAACAATATATGGATAATTGTGACTTGAGTGTCACAAAGGTTACACATTGGCTATGTAAATAGTACAGTTAGTTTAATGCTTAGCTTATATGTGATCCAAGGCAAGAGAAATGACATAGAACTCGGCATTGAACACAGAAACTGTACAGAGGATCCTGTGAGCAACCACTGAGGCACACCAAATCATGGCAGAGCCGACAGAGTCACCTGATTTTTAACCATCCATAAAGACGGGAACAGAAGAATGGTTCAAAAGATGTCTGGCAAAGAGAATATGGCACTTCCAATCAGGAGTATCTGTCTTCTTCAGATGATTCAAAGAAAGGTCACACAAGTGGGGATGGTAAGGAGCCATAGCAGGATAGGTTGAACATCGGACTCAGCAACATCATCCAATGATAGACCCAATTCAGCCAGCCGTGTCTGGATACAAAGGCCAAAAGGAAAAATGGCAGAATGTCTATTTCCAGCTTAGAACATATGAGGCCACAATAGATCTTCAGTGTAGAACAACAATCCTCTCCTCAAGAAGTGAAAGAGAGAATACGAAGGATGTTCAGTGCCCTGATACACTTGATATGAAACTGCTTAAGGTAAGGAATAAAAGTTAACTTGTGGTCAAACAGAAGCCCCAAGAACTTCGTCTCACGAACCACAGGAAGAACACCACCACCAAGATGGAGCTCAGGATCAGGGTGTGAACCCCATTGGTGACAAAAGTGAATACAAACGGTTTTAGAGGCAGAGAAGGGGGGAACTGTTCGCTGTTGTCCACCCCAACAAGCGAGAAGTCTGAAGCTGCTGCTCAATATATCTCATTTTCGATGACTGACAAAAAATGTGGAAGTCGTCGACGTAGAGGATATTTGCAACAGTAGGAGGAAGTTGTTTAGTGATAGCATTGATCTTTATACTGAAAAGTGTGACACTCAAGACACAGCCCAGAGGAACAGGACAAGGTCAAACCTACACTGACTTGAAATCTTCTGTCAAACAAAAAGCTATGAATAAAAATGGGCAAAGTGCTAAACCTCCATGTAGTGTCATAAGCCTTCTTAAGATAACAGAAGATAGAAACAAGATGCTCTCTCTTGAGGGAGGCTTTCCTGAAAGAGGTTTCGAGAAGAATCAGGAGGTCCACAGTGGGGCACTGTCGATTAAAAGTACATTGGGTGGGCTAGAGAAGTTTGTCTGATTCAAGGAACCAAATAAGATGTACATTAACCATCCACGCCAAAACCTCACAGAGACAGCTAGTCAAAGCAATTGGACGATAATTAGAAGGAATCTTGGGATCCTTTCCCAGGCTTAGAGAAAAGTAGGATAATAGTCTGGTGCCAAGCAACAGGAAACATATTCTTCTGCTAAATCCTGTTAAAAACAACCAGAAGGAATTAAAAGAAATATTAGCATCATTCCCAGGCTTTGAACAAGGGAGAACAATAGCCTTGCAAGATCAGAGAAAACAGAAACAAGATGTTTCCACTTGAGGAAAGCTTCCTGATGGAGGTTTCAAGTTGAATCAGATGGTCCATGGTGGAGTGCTGTTGACGGAACTCACATTAGGTGGGCGAGAAGAGGTTATGTTATTCGAGGAACCAAACAATATGAACATTAACCATCCTCTCTAAGACCTTACAGAAACAGCTAGTCAAATCAATTGGACGATAATTAGAAGGAATCTTGGGATCCTTTGCCGAGCTTAGAGAAAAGTAAGACAATAGCCTGGTGCCAAGCAACAGGAAACATATTCTTCTGCTAAATCCTGTTAAAAACAACCAGAAGAAGAGCAAGAGAAGCAGGCGCAGCATCATATAGTGAACATCGTCAGGTCTGACCGATGTAGTGCCAGACCAATGAAAAGCAATATGAAGTTCCACCAATGTAAATGAGCCAAAAACTAACATTTATGACCACTTCTCCAACTGGATTTTAAAAATGCATTTGAAAACATTTTACTAAAACTCTTTTCCCATAAATAGGATAAGTTTGTAAAACACTTACCTGTGTAATCCATAAGCTTTAATTCTTCAAATTTGTATTTATTTCTTTATACTTTTTTTTTGTACAGAAATATTTAGCTTTAACGTTCATCAAGTATTTGCTTTGTTGTTTACTGGAAGTATTATTAGTTCTATTTCTTCCAGAAAAGTTTAAATGTTTCATCTTTAATCCTCTAATGATTCATTCATGATTCCCACAAGTTGTTATGGGTCCATGACATTTTTTGGATGCATATGAATCACACAAAAATTTAAACAAAATTACCATCAATAATTCAATTGATACCATTAATTACTACTGGGTTCCAATTAAAATTTTACTTTGAAAGACTGATTTTAAGCAGTCTTTTGGTCAGTTCTTGAAATTAAGTGTTGTAACAGGTAAATACATAAAGTTACTCAACATTATGCAGTATGTGGACTCCACCAGTATTGAATGTTATAAGAATGAAGACAAGAAGAAAAGTTTTAATAGATATTGTGGGTAAACTTTACTGTAGCTAAGTTTCTATACTTAGTTCATCTTTCCACCTAATGCCCCAAGATTCTGAGTATCTTTGAGCATCTGTTTTTTCTCATACCTTCATTGATATTATGTATCATTTTCAAAATCATATTGGTTTTCTTGTCAATTTTGTTATTGTAATTTTAATCCATCTGCCTTTTCTTATTTTTTAATGATCAAGATAATCTTGGTACCCTTCTTAACTAGGTGTAAACAATATTTTGTAGTTAATAAATAAATTTTTGTCATTACAGTTTACCTAAGAGGTCCTTAAATGTTCCTTGCATTTATAAAATTGAAGAAAAATCAAAACAATTTTTTTTGTGGGGGGGGGGGGGGATACGAGATGAAAAAGAGAAAACAATGAAGTTAATGCAGCAAAAATAATGCATCTTGCTCTAACTCTCAACTATCATGTTCTTTAAGTAGTGAACAACTTGAAGGTTGAAACCATAATACAATTTTTATTGATTTGCCAGTTACTTACAGTTGGAATGCAATAACTATATTTATTTTGTAATTATTCCAAAAGCATGGACAGGAAAGATACAATCTATAAAGCCCTTTAAAGTGACATTTGATAAATACAAAAAGTTATTTAATTTCTGTAGTGCATATTGATGTATAAAAGATATTTTAATAATAGTAATAAATTACCTTACCACATCAAATTTGTTATTTTTCTTTAATTGGAAACTCAATGTTTTACTTCACAGCTTCTTCAGAACCGTTCCATTAAAACACAAACTGTACGCTTTTTACAGTCAGTTACAGTTTATATTTTAATAGAATGCTTTTGAAGCTGTAAAGCAAAACGATGAGTGTCTAATTAAAGAAAAATAACATTTTTGGTGTGATAAGGTCATTTATTAATAATATTAAAATACAAAAAGATGTAGAAGCTACTTATGTTACATTTTATTGTTAAGTATACTTTATTGACAATTGTTATAAAATTGCTAATTCCAGTTGATATAAATATTAAATTATGTTAACTTCTAACTGTGCCTTTTTCAAGACTCAAAGTTTCACAAGAAAGTAAAAGCTTCATTTAGGTTCAACGAAATTATACAACTAAACAGTATCTTGATTATTTCAAGTCAAGAACCCCATAACACCTATTATCCCAATAGCCTGTAAACATCACAAACACTAAGCAATAGAGGTTTTTGAAAAACATTTGCAACCCATTAAAATCTGAACAATGTTTAAAAAGAGTACATTAACCCAAATACTTTTTTAATATTTTGATCTATATAGAAAGTTTACACTTGGTTTCTTTATCAAGTTTTCAGAAATATCAAAACATTTATACAAACTAATATGAATTTTCTTTCAGATAAGAATCTTTTTTAAACTTTCAAAATGTTCAGTATGCTTTTCAAAACAGACTGACAAACAACAAAAATACCATTCTGATATTTCAGTGTTGCTCCAACACTTAATACGGAATTTCAACAATAGCTTACAGTTTATCACTAGTACTTGTTTTATTACTCAATTCTTTTAGATCAACACTGTTTAATTTGTATTAAAACTGATTAAAAGGTGCATATAATTTAGGGTGTTACTGTATAATTTTCAACAAAACTGTTTTAATAAAGATCATACCTAATACAATAAAGTATACCAATGTTTCATTGATAAAAACTAACAACCCTGAAATGTTCAACCTCAATCAGGATTATCTGCAAGTAAGATCATCATACACTTTTGACAATACTAGTACCTTGTTATTCAACTAAAACCGAAACTATTTTAGATAAACACTGGTAATATTATAATTCAAATAAATTCAACACTGTTCCAAAGAAACTACATTTTGTTCATCACTGATTTCTCTAGTTTTGAAATGTTTTAAAAACAGGCACATCCAGTGCGCAGATTCCATTAAGCTATACAAAAGTTAAAAGTATTATTTAATCAATTACCTGTAGATTTTGCAATGATTTAATTATTTTTCAAAAATGCTCACAATAAACAGCATAGCTGACTTTTACTGCTACTAAACAAATTAATTTTATTATCAGAGCTACAAAATACATAAATGTAAAAAATTATAAATATAGTCTACAAATATCTCTAAAACTACTACAAATGCCTCACATTTTATTTTAATAGTAAGAGTACTTTAGAAAACAAGTTATCTGATGTGAAAAGTTCAAGCTACCTTTCAATTGAAACATACCAGTGTACACTAGTAAAATGTTAAGCAATCAATATTTATCTCAATTCTGTAAGTGTTCAGAATCAATTTTACATTTTTTAAGAATCACAAACACTGTTCAAAGTTACCACCAGGTCAATGGTGTATTTTATTCACTTTACTTTAAAAATTTGCTAAATTTGAAAAGTTTTAATTAACATATAATTTTAAACAACTAGAATACAATGTAGTTTTTTTATAATTTAAATTAAAGATACTAGTACTTAATTTACAAAAACATGAAACTTTTGTGCCTGTTATTATTATTGAAGATACAGGTTTGATTTGTAATTTACTGTGTCATACTAAATTCTATTTTCTTACCACTTATAAATGGTGAAAGTGTTATATGTACACCTAGTGCATTTATAAATAATTAAACATAAGATTTCAAAACAAAAAACAAAGATTTTAATTGTAGAACAGCCAGTGTGCACTGTTTTAGATGTAAATTTTTGGGCAATGAGATAAATGGCCTTTTATAGAGGCAGAGCAGACACACTTACTATTGAGGTTTAGGGTAGTATTTCTCTTGGCTCAGAACTTTACCTCTGAAAAAGACCTTTGTGAACTCGTTCTTTACTTACACAAGAACTGTATAGAAATGAAATCTGTAATTAGCATGCACATCCATCTGACCTTGGTTTCTGATCATTTGTCAACTTTATTTGGTCTGGAAACTCATTATACAATTCCACTTCAGTCTCTTGAGCCAAAGCATTCTTTGCAACAGTCTGAAATGCTTGTTCCACATTGATAGCTTCTTTGGCACTTGTCTCAAAATAAGGAATGTTATTCTTACTCTGACACCAGCCTTGAGCTCTTTTAGTGGAGATCTAGATATTGATAAGGAATGTTATTCTTACTCTGACACCAGCCTTGAGCTCTTTTAGTGAAGATCTAGATATTGATAACTCACTTCAATATCATAAAACTTAATTATGACACCAGTTAATATTTAAAAAGAAAATTTCTAAACATTATTTTTGATATATCCAGCATTTAAAGTGTAATGTTATCATCTCAAATTTTGAAATCAAAACAATTTTAATAAAACATAATTTATTTTTTGAGATTGACTGTATAATTCTTGGCCTTCAACAAACTTGATAAAAAGCTGAAACATCTTTCTCTAAAGATAATGCTATAGTTAAAAACAAGCTAAAGATTTAGTTTCCTAATACTAGTTATTCTACATGTCAAAGTTTTCTCATCTGTACATATAAGAGAAATGTAACAAAATACTTCAATTAACAATAAGAGTGCAGACAATAACAAATGAAGCATTTTAAATCACAAGTTTCCAAAATCCCTCCACAAAAACAGCTGTAAGTATAAATTCAGATGAGATAAACATCCTAAAAGTGTTAATTATGAAATGGTGGCAAATAATGAATAGGTGTGTTTGAATATTGCCCAAATGTGAGAAATACCAATATGATGGTTTCAAGTAGTTAAAAAACAACAGTAAGTATTGAATTTAGTAGTGTCAAAATAAAAAAACTTTTATTGTTTTCTTTGTTTGTAGTAATTTGACTCTCACGAGGTTTCAAGAGAAAGAATGCCATGTTTTTTAGCCAGCTGATGTCACATCAGCATGGGAGAATTTGAGTTAGTTTTATATAATTTTGAAAAGAAGCAGAGAAATATATTTTGTCAATAAAACACATATTTATATTACTTTTAACTCTAACAGTCAGGTTTGTCAATGAAATGCACCTGTTATATACATAGTTGTTTTTTTTATTGCTTTGTGAAACAGTCTGAAACTCGAGATGAAATTTCTACAGATTATGTAATTTCTGAAAATAAAATATCTTATTTTTTATATGTCATATTTGTATGAAATTTACAGCTTTGAAAATCTGAAAAGATTTCATTATGGTATGTTTTTTGTAAGTAATTAAAAATTCCAATTTAATGCACAGAAGAATGAGTACAAGTCTATTTTCAATAATTATTTTTTAATTCTATGGTGTAGTTTCCCCTTGATGCAGGATGCATTCATCCAGACATAATAGAGTTCACAGAGTAATGTTGGCTGTCTTAACATGCTGAAATAATGTGTTTGGTAATTAACATGACATTAATAAAATGACACAGCTATTACTTTAGACATTGATAAAGCTAAAATATGAGAATTAACTATATGCATAGATATAGTGTGTGTGTGTGTGTGTGTGTGTGTGTGTGTGTGTGTGTGTGTGTGTGTGTGTGTGTGTGTGTGTGTGTGTGTGTGTGTGTGTGTGTGTGTGTGTGTGTATATATGTTTTTTTTTTACATTTAATGTCCGTCATTTTTATTTGGTCATTCCAGCAAATGACTGAACAAGGGGCTATTTGTGCTGTACCCATCAATCATGGTGTTCATATCAGGGATTTAGAATTATCAAAAAGGGCATATTATCCCACACTCTTTAACTATAATATTTTTTACCCCTGGAGAAGAATAGTCAAATACTAAAAAAATGCTCATATTTCTTGGTCTTTAGAAATCAAAGGAGTGTTTGTCATAAAGCAATCGATTGAGAATTGGCAAAACAGCAAGCATGATGGTGGAATGTTCATAACAGTGTTTATCTGTGAGAATAACTTGTGTTTTTTAAATCTTTAATAGTGAAAAATGTTAAGATTTATTACAAGTGTATTAATGATGTGTGACAACAGCTTTTATGCAATGTTCATGTAATCTAATCTGTTTTGAGTTTTTTTCTAATGGGGTTGGGGTGGTAGTACTTGCCCCACCATTTTTGAAAGGCTATACACTTGTCTAAAATAAAGAGCAAATGCAAATATATAAACATCTTTGGCTATTAATATTTCTGGATGTGGGAGTGTATGTGAATGATACTTCTCTTACATAATGGCTATCTATTTCTTGTGCATGCAATTACTTACAGGTACAATGTCTTCAGTTGAATCATTATTCTTATATGCTATTTACCTACAGATATGCATAACGTGGAACACTGGGTCACGATTATGCTATTGTACACACACGTAAAACTGTGCATTAATTCAGATCAGTTGCTTAACCAAAAAAATTCAGGATTTCTAAGGTACTGAATAACTATCTGGTTTTAGTTAAATTAAATCTAATGAACATATAAAATGGTGCTTAGTAGAAATTAAACAAGATATAGACAATTACATCACACCATGACAACCCAGGTTAAGAAATAGTCTTGGGGTAAAATTGGTAAAACTACACTTGTACTGAATTACAAGGTTGAAATTAGTGCTATTTTGTATAAAATTATGTAGACTTTCCTTGTCAGGGGCTTTGACTGGTATATTATGCTCAGAAAAAAATTCAGGAAATTTGCAAGCTAATTTCTGAGATCATACAGTTAAAATGGGTGCTCACATACCAGACAAATTATCGAAAGCCTGCAAGGAGGAATGGTATGCTATGGTCATGACAGCCTTACAAAGGAGCATTTTACAAAGAAAACTATGTTGCAGGGCTATTGTCAAGATGCATAGTCACCAGACAGAGTATAACCATACACAGCAACATGGACTGTAACAACATGGTTAGCCTCCAAAATCATTTTAATATACCATAATAAACTGTAGCTGTGTTACACAGTAATTTTTCTTGGAATACAATTATAAAATTGCTCATAAAAATTTCAGATAGGTACATTATGTTTTTACTCCCTCAGTCGATTTGACCAACCACATGATCTCTTTGTACTCGTTTAACTCTTTTTCAGCACAGACTTGGTCCCTGGGACAGACCTCGTAACCATTTTGTGCTTGTTATAGTTTTCATGCTATAACTTTTAAATTGATATGCGAATGTTAACAAAATTTGGCAAATAAGTAAACATTACAATGCTTTCATATGCAAAATATCAATTTTTTTATTATTAAATCTTAAGGTTTATAAAGCAATGTTTTTCTTATCTGTATTTTTTCTTTTCGCATGTTGCTTATCTATCATGCAAAGTAATATTCATTTTAAGATTAAAAATACTTTATTGCACCAGAAAGTTTTTAAATTTCACATGCAAAATCTTACTATAATGTCGAGATAGTTATCAAGTGTTTCTTAAGGAAAAACTTTATATTTTATCTGTTATTTTCAGAAATTAATCTCTGTTCAGGTTCGGTAGATTTGACCAATCTCACAACCACCATAAGTTTTCAGTAAAACTTTACATTTTATCTGTTATTTTCTCTACCCTAACTCTATACAAGGTTGGTCAATTTGACCAACCTTGTAACCACCAAAAAAAAAACCTAAATAAATTTAAGTTACCCTTTTTTCTTTCTAGAATGACTTCAAATTGAAACATGAAATGATATTCCTTTAACCAAAATATCTTTAAACTCATAACAGTATACATCTATTTATACTTAAAGTTTATTATTTCATTGGCCTTTGAACCATGTCTAACTACTATTCGTGCCATTATAAGTTCTTAATCACTTGGGGGGTATGGAGCTCACATTACACTATCGAATTACATTACCCACAAGCTCCGTTCAGAAAACAATGTAATAGACAAATGAAAACCTTGGCTTTCTTTTGTTTATATGTAATATAGAATTAAATGTAAGAGAAAACTATTTACAAATTCTGAACGAAAGGATGTGACAAGAGGGGGCATATTTTTTATTGAATAGCTTTGTAACCAAACAAAATTGAAGGCTATAAAAACTATGGTTTGCCTTAGCAATGATGATGTTATAGTGAGTAATTTATGTTAAATTTTGTACTTATTGGAGGGATGGTGAATGAAATGGAAAAGAGAGGATGCCTAGAGAACATATGTCCCATTTCTCACACCAGAGGAAATTCAGGATTTTTTTAAATATTGCCTTATAAAATTAAAAACTTAAAACTTATATACTATTAAAATATGGATTATCAGCTAAGATTTTATGTTATACTAATTGGTAAAACAAACAAAAAGTAGTTTAATAAAAATTATGAATGTAAGTCATTAAAGCCTTGTGACATGTGCAAGAAATGATGCCAGGACATAGAGGGCTAAACTTGACATCACCAAGCTGCAAACATGATAGCATATATAAGATAAAGTCTTATAAATGGAAATGCCATACTCCCAATATCTGACTACTGGCCTGAAAAGGTTTACAGTGAAACTTTATACAGCATTCAACCATAAGCATCTTCAACTCTGTATCTCATGTTTTTGTGGGCAAATAAAATTACTGAGCTTTAAAACATTTTAACCTAATCTTTCCCCTCAAATCATCTACAAAATGGATCCATAACTAAAATGTTCAGTTACCATTTTGCTTTAGTTTATATTTTATTAACATTTTTAAAAAAGGGTCAAAATGGACAACCTTAGTTAATTTAGATTTTTTCTTTTAACTTACCTCAAATCTATTTCACACACAGACACATAGTTTATTTTTATTGTCCAATAGTGCATTCTCCCTCCATCTAATCTTGTGCTTTCAACAATAACAATTAATAATAATTAAAAATTTTGTTTATTCTCACTTACCAGTCTGTTTTCTAAATCTATCTTGTTTCCAATCACTACAAAAGGGAAATTTTCTGGGTCTCTAGGTGATGCTTGGATAAGGAACTCATCTCTCCATGAATCCAAAGACTTGAATGAATTTGGAGCCGTCACATCAAATACCAGAACACAACAGTCAGCTCCTCTGTAAAATGCTACACCAAGAGACTGAAATCTTTCCTGACCTGCTGTGTCCCAAATCTTATGAAGATAACAATCATTTTATCAAAGACACAACTTTAAATCATATTCTTTTTGTAACTAAATGAGTTTGAGTACACATTTTTTCATATTACATTCTGAAAAACAACAACAACAACATAACTCCTTTTCTCTTAAAATCTAACAACTTTAACTATGACTATGAAATGTAAAGCCTTTTAAAGTTAACATCTTCCTTATACGAAAATGTATTTCCAATAGATATAAACCTCTTCACACAATTAATCTATCTTCTCTATGCATCTCCCTTAGAGATTTGCATGCCACTAGCCTTTAGGCAATTCCCACCTAGTCTCACAAGATTTCTCGTGAATTGTGCTACTGCACAATGATGTTATTATGAGGCAATAGCCCTCCACCAATAGGAAGATGACACATCTCCTTGCAAACTAACTCCCTCTATGCTTTTGCACTTATGAATTTTCATTCTTTAATGTGGTAAGGAATACTAAGGTGCACCAGATGTGGGAAGGATGGGTAGGAAGGTGTGGGAGAGGCAAGTATCTATTGGAAATACATTTTCAGGAAAGGAAAATGTTAACTTAAAGGTGATACATGCCTCTCCAAACCTTCAGCTAGAATCCCACAATGAAGTGGTAGATGGTCCAATGCAGAAATTCACCTTAATGAGTTTCTTTCAGAAATTGCCAAAGGAAACCCATCGAGTGTGACACCAAATAGGAAGAGCTCCATAAGGATACACTTGTGGGAGACTGCATCTCATCTCTTCCAGGGTATACTCTTTATCCAAGAAAAAGGAAGTAAGAGGCAAATGAGCCCCACATGTTGCAGGAATGGGCTGAATAAGAACATGGTTGTTCAAGTACTTGCACACAAAAGGTTGGATAGCCAATATGTGTAGCATGTTTGGGGCACATTCAGATTGTACACTGTGCTCACCTCAACTCTACTGTTAGACTATTGGACTGATACCTGCTGCAGTAGGAGGGTACAGAATTCATGTCATAGTGTGTGGAATGGTGTGCGTGCACTCCTCAACTTAACATAACAGACATCAGTTGCATGGTTTGTTAGTGCATGCTTGCCTCAATTCATCTGAACAGGAGATGACTGCAGGAGGAGGGCACATATATATAAGGTACTAACCTTGACTGTATTGAACAGACATCAGCTGCAGGAAGGGGCATGGTTTATTAGTGTGTATGCTCATCTCACTCAATTGGATGCGTTATGTCTGCAAGAGGAGGACACAGGTGTAGAGTGTGCTCATCTAAACTTGAACAAACAGACAACAACTGCAAGTGGAGGACACAAGTGGCATAAGTAGTTATGAGGGTTGACCTGTGCTACACTGACAGTATCACCACTACCTCCCTTCCCACTGATTGGCATCCCTTGTTCTAGCCCCAGCAGTTAGGTCCCAATCAGTGAAGATTCTCCATGGTCCATTACCCCAGTAGCTAGGAACTAGTAATTAGTAAGGGTCTCCCATGCTCTACTGAAAGAAAAAGTGGGGGAAGAATTCATAATAAGAAGACTCAGAGAAAATGCCAGAATTCCTACTGGTCCTGTTTCAGCCAGAAAGGTCTTTCACTGAAGACAATGCAACAGGTGACCACGTATCACTATTTTGAAGAGCCATCAAGTGAGAACTAAGGAAGCAGGCAGAATAGGTACATTCTGGACTAGACAGTAGTCAGATATATAACTATACCATGAGGGTATATCATGTGGTCTAGCAGAACACCCTATCTTAACAGTGGGCATATATATGGAGCCAGGGCAGATAGTATGAGTGCTTTCCATTACCCTGGCTCGATGCAGAATATTGGAAAATAAGTATACTCTGGGAGGCACTACCAGTCACCCAGTGGAATCCTATAGACAAATTTTGTAATAAGAAAAAGGAAGTGTACTCACCTGTCTAAAGACAGTAGGTATTCTGTAGAATAGGAGAATGGAGGCAGGTGGTAACTTTCAAGAGACAAGACAGCCAGATGGTGAAGACAGTTGGGAACAAAGGTGTGAGAAGTTGTCCATGTGCCGGCTTGAAGGATCTTATCCAGCAGTTGTTTCAAATGATGATGTAACAAACTTGATGGGATGAAATGTGGAATAGTCTGTGAGCATCGAATCCCAATGAGGAGTAAACCAAACATAGAAATTAATGGATGTTACCTGTAAGGGTAAAAAAAATATGTCCCTGGAGAGAGAAGACTCCCAGGGAATGTAGAGTCAAAGGCAAGAGCCATAAAAGTGAGAGAGATGATCTAATTAGCAACAAACAACATAAACAGGGCACAAAAGTCTATCCAGATCCAACTGACCATAGAGGTGGAAAAAAGGAAGGAAGGTAGATAGGAGATAAGTAGTAATTTCCTTCCTAGGTGGTTGAAGACTTAGAGAAGAAGGACTAGTCAGGATAAAAAAAGAATTTAAGAATAATGGAAAGGCATAAAGAAAAAGAGTTGATAGTATAGATATCTGAATGACAGCAACCACAGGTGAGAAGTAGAAGGACATATGTCTTAAGAAAAAGGTGGTATAAGTTGCAGGTTGCCAATGGCTTGAAAGGGGCATGGATAAGTTTGTGCAGGATGATACTGAGGTTCCAGTCAGGCATGGGAACAGGCCAAATGGGTCTATGGATAATGAAAGACCAGAACAAATTGGAGAGAACTGGGGAGGAAAACAACTTGCAGTATTGAGAATGGTGAAATGTTGTAGATAAGTCTACCTAATAACAGGCAATGGTGGAGACAGCTGATTCACTATCAAACAGACATTTAAAAGGAAAAGAGATGGCTCATGGTAGGATGGTCAGGAGAAAGGTGGATAAGATAAAAGAACAGGAATGAGAAAGGAAAAGGCTACCAGATTGAAAAGTCTAGTTTAACAGGCAATAGACTAGATAAATCCCAAACATGAAGGTGGAGGGACTAGATCCCATGATGGAACAGTAACGTGTGAGATTGGAACAGGAGAGAGAGTATAATTGGTGAGAGAAGAGGAGGTTGGGCTGTCAGGTGGCACAGAAGAAGGAATCAAGGTTAAGCCAGCCAGAGGAGTACCACCAAAAGTACACAACAAGGAATGTCTCATATTGAGGCTAGGATCTAAGGTAAAAGACAGAGAAGTGAGTAAGCATGATGAAAAGGATAAGGCTAATCCTAAGTGAAGGCATGAATAGCCAGGGCCAAGTGATGGGTTATAGCTGATCAAAAAAGAGGAAGCTTGGGAATGAGAGGGGTGGTAAGTCATTGATGAATGGAGTCTCCAAGAGAAAGCACCCCAATGGAAAAGCTGGGGTGAAAAGACCATTGTGTGGGCAGGACATGATCATGCTGAGAGAGAGGCAGTCCACAACTAGGTTCATAGCTTTTGGTACATGGCAGGCAATGAGACAAGCCCATTAAGAACTGGATCAATAAGGAACATCCAGCATTTGAAAGCAAGGGGTCCTGGATTGGGTTCCCACTTGGTAGTTGATATAGGAAAAACCAACGAGTTGTTGAAATGGATCGTAACAAAATGATCCACAAGAAGGAGTGAGAAATGGGAGCATGCCTGATGGACTGCCTGAGATTGTGGGAATGTAGTTGGTCAAGGAAAAGATAAACGTAATTAGTTAGGGTTAGATTTAAGAATTAGGGAAGAAGAAGAAGAATATGACATAGTGGAAAGAGAAAGAATGGTGCATACTTGTGAAACTAAGTCCTGATAATGTGAGAAAGTTTAAAGTTTCTCTTCAACGGGGATAGAATTTCTCAAAACATAACCAGGAGAAGGAAACAATCAAATTCATCCTCCTCATTCTCCCCTCAATACAAGGGGAAGTAACATCTGAAGAAGACTGGAGCTGAAGGTCCTGACTGTATAAGGTAACCCACTACCCCATGCACAATGGCCATCACATCATCCCCAATCATGTGCCTCCATAGGCCAGAGTTGTTACATAACCTATGTGAGGAAATTATTCACTCACACTAGTAGTAGATGTTACATAATCTAGTGTGTACGTAGTTTGCAGAAAAAAAGGAAATTAAGTTCCTTAAACATCGCAAACCTCATTAAATTTAAAAAGAAAAACATGTCTGATGTGTTGAATGCCAGGGAAAAGAACGTAGATTCACGAGAGCCCAAGAAGGGGTGTCACTATCATATTGGTGGAGGGCTTTTGCCTCATAATAACATCATTGTGCAGTAGCACGATTCACAAGAAATTTCGTGATATTAGATGGGAGTTGCCTAAAGGCTAGTTGCATGCAAATCTCTAAGACAGATACACGGGGAATATAGCTTAATTACATGAAGAGGTGTATATTGCCTTAGAACATTTAAAATAAATAACTGTAACAAGTAATGTGCCAACAATGACACATCTGTAATAATCACATCAGTTCAAATAAGAAAATGATCAAATCTTTATAGAACTATTTAAAAAATATGCAACAAATGTTAACTACATTACAAACAATTTTCGATTTAAATAAAGCACATGCTGTCTTTCCTTGAATCCCTGTCATCTTCAGAGCTGTACAAAAAATATTAAGAAAGAATATTAAACGATTCAAGTTCTGAAATAATCTCATATGACACAAGCACCCTTTGTGTAATAATTCAAAAACATATTCAATATTGAAAATATAAAACATGTCTGTGAGAAAAAGAAATGAGACCAACAGAAGTTTCATCAGGATTAGGGCTAGCACTGTAGCTGAAAAATACAAGTTGGCAGACTCTAAAGACAATTAGGTCTGGTAAAGATCAATCTTTATCAAAAACAAAGGAATACAGTGGAATTTTAATCAAAGCAATTAGTGCAATAAGGTTTAAGATATAAAAAATGAACCAACATTTAAAAGGAAAAATAGTTTTATTTGGCTGATAGCCAAAATTAATAGATTACATATTTCAGTTCCTGATGATGATAGCGAAAAGTTACCGAAACATGTAGTCTATTAATTTTGGCCATCACCCAAATAAAATTTTTATTGTGAATTTTAAATGTTGGCCTTATTTTTAATTTTAAAAGGAAAACAATTTGTTAGCTAAATTAAGTTTCCACACAATTGTTATAAAACAAAAATATGTTAAACCATCAGAGCTGACAATTTTACACCAAATACTATCGATAAACTGTATAAGTATGAACAACAAAGTTATAGAAATTCTGATAATGACAAAAAAAACTGCACAAGAAAGAACAGTGCCTAAATTATGGCAGGAAAGCAGAGCTTATGTAGGAACTCCTTCTACTTGTGCAGTAAGTCACATGGAAAGTGGGAAAATGGAGAATTATGGGTAAACAATGTGAAAAACATTTGCAAGTTTTATTCAGGATTTGTTAAAATATACATTCAAACAATACTGAAAAATTTTCAGTATTGCAAAGGTAAGACTACCTGGTTTGAATGAATATTATAAGACTACTGTCCACAAAAGCTTACAATATTTATCAGTCACTCATCAGTAATCAGATTGATGCTACAAATGATTTCTACAAGTTGATCATTCACAAAGTACAAAAAATGATTATTTCTTAGTTCTGAATAGTAATACTAATAAACCACAAATGGATTATATTGTTTTGATAATCATTTATGCTTGAAGCCATCAACAAGTTTTCCAATGAATCAGTACATTTACAACCTATAAGATGCACCTATCTTTTTTTAAATCCATATATTGTGTTAAACACATACTTTAGCCATACATCCTCTCATATGTTAACATAAAATACAGCATAGTTACATTTCACATTCAGCTGAACTACTATAGTATTGCACAAATAGTCTGTGAAATAGAAACCAATGGCAATCTGTTACATAACCCATTTATTTAACAAAGGTCTTTAAAGACTTTGCTTGCAGGAAATGAAGAGCCATCTTCAGCTTAAACATTCCAATCCTATGGCCTTACATGCCATTTGTCACTTTTATTGTAAAATACAATTAAAGCATTTACACAGTTGTTTTTGATAACATGCTTTAGTGAATGGTGTGGATTTATAAGGTTAAATAATAGGTTTGATACAATGTATACATTGTAATAATAAGTGCTCTATTTTCAACAGTGACCATGGTATCTAGAAAAGGCAAAGATTTAAGAATACTGCCAGTACAGGTGCGAGTTTAATATTACAGCGTAAATTACAGAGGAATTTTACTAATTTTAAAACAGTTGGAAGTCAGGGATTCCATATTTCAACTATGTGATCAATGCATCTGTACCACCTATCAGGTTCTGATTGGTTTCAAACTCCTCTTAGATAAGAAAAGATGTATCAAAGCAATGCATAATAATTATATTAGAGACAACTGCCATGTGATGATTGTGAGGAATTTTCCAGGAGTTCTTCAAGAATTTATTGGGAAAAAAATGTGAATCTTAAGCCATCATTCAGCTATGAGGATAGGACACATAGCAATAATATTAAGGTTAAACAAAACAATGTGCTAAGACTAACGAATGAATTATCACCATGTAATTTTTGAATGAAGGTATTAGTGCCTTTCAAATCTAGAAAGGATTGAAATAATTTTTCATGCAGTCATAATAAGAAGTGAAAGGAATGTTACATGTGGGAACTATAAATCTTACGAGTGTGTCAAAGTTGAATTCTTTTTTGTTAGCCCATACAATTCAGTTGCCATAGGATAGAAAAGTTTAAGCTTGTCTAACATGATTTAGGTAACAACTGGTAATAAATACTTTTAATATTAATATTTACACTTTGAATTGTGTTATATGCTTCAAAAGTTATATAAAATGGTAATTGTTACTGAGAACATTTAATATAAAATTTATCAGTTCCAATGCATCTTTAATAGATAAATTTCCTGCACAGTGTATGAAAAAAAAACATTCAATGTTACTGTATTTATAAAGATACATGTATATAGTGTTTATATTGTTGGCTAAATGAAAACATGCTATAATTCTATCAATGTACCCTTTGCAAACATTTGTCTGAACTAAACCCAATGATTAGTGTTGGACACTGGACTTACTCAGATGTGATACATACTTCCTATTTTAGCTAAATACCTTACAATAAGCAGTTTTTATACCAAATCTGCAAAATTACCTTAGTAGTATTAAGTGCATCAACACAAGAGAATTGCTAAATACAATAACATATTTTCCAAAAAATTATGAAAAAAAGGATTATATTTCTTGAAATGAAATGTAGAATAAAAACTACCAGCCCAACCAACATTACATTTGTGTTTTACATACCTGCATAGTGACCAACCGGTCATCTACCATAACTTCTTTTGTGAGAAAGTCTGCTCCAATTGTTGCTTTATATTGGTTACTAAATTTCTTAATGACATACTGGTTCATAAGTGATGTTTTTCCAACACTATCATAAATAAACATTCAATTAGAAACCAAAAACGAAATACTCAAATACAAAAATAAAACTGACACATACTTTTAATATTTTAAGTACAAGTAACAAGTTGTTAAGCCATAAGAAACAGTTTATACATAACTCAGTGTTCGAAACAAGTGTTTTCTGGCTATCCAAGACAACCCAAGTTATCACCAGAGTGTGCTTGTGCTATTATGTAGGGATGATGCAAGTGTCATCCCTACTATCTTGTATACATTGTGTTTGAAGAATTGATATTAGCCATCCCTACATTTACTTCATTTTATGAAATGTTTTTTCTTTACTTGTTTATATAGTACTCTGAATGTGCCAATATGGGTTAGATGCCTTGACTGCCATGGGGTTGGGTCGTGTTGCATTTGTCCTACAAGAACATAGTAGTGCATTTGAGTTAAGTGTAGTGGAATGTTAACAGACAAAAATATGATAAATTAAGCTCAACTATGATTGAATATATGTATACATATAAATATTGCTATATATTAATTCTTCCATATGTTATTATGTAGAGATGATGACAACAGCCATCCCTATGTTTACTTCTTTTTTTTGAAAAAAGTTTTCTTTACTTGTTTTTTTTTATGAAGTGTTTTAATAGACATAGAATGGTTGTATTTATAACCAAGTTCTAAATACAATGAAGTTCCAACTGTAATATTTATTATTTAACTATTGTTGGCTAATAATTCCTGTTTCACCCTGCACTTAAGATTTTTAAAACACCACCAAATTTCTACAAGAACGCTAACTTCAAGGGGTATTGATAACATTGTTTACACTAAAATTATGATTTTTTAATTACTACTAGTTATTAATAATATCTATAAAAGTGGATACTCCATTTGAAACTATGTCGCCTCAGTGAAACTGGTTGAGACTATTGTTTTGGTTAAAGTTCTCATGTAATAAAAAAAAAACAGAAGAAAGAACAAAATTTTTGCTATGATATTCACAGACATTCCCAGAACTTGTGACTCATTCATTAAATAGATATTGTTATAATAAGAAACAGTGTACAATATTGTAAAGTTCTGATGACCCATTGAGGAGATATTTAAAATACCATTTTGATGAACAAGCTGAGCTATCCATACATAGGCAGTGCTACTACCACTTACCTGATTACAAGTAGTATACCTACGTGTACAATGTTCCGATTTCTACACGTATGTGATCATCAAGACTACATACACTGTTTACAAATAACAGTATTTATTATAGCATCTTGCAAACCTGTCACAATTTATGAACAATAATGGATCAACATTAAAAGATTTTGATAATGCCACTTCTATTTCCATGATTTACATTTTGCATGTTTTAGATAATGTGTTTGATGCAAGTTGTTTATCTAGAATGGCTAAGCAAGATTTGCTATTTCGATTTAACAAAGACAAGCAATCACAACAAAGTAGGCACAAAGTCTTTGAATAGAGAGGCTGATTCCAAATGCCATCAAAACAAATGCAAAAGAACGTTTCAAAGTTTGTGGATAAGTGGCAGTCCATGGCTGAAGTATGGCAAAGAGAAAAGGATCATAACATGCTTATTAAGTTCCTTGATAAAATCATGAACTTCTATCAACTAATGAGCTGTCTAGTGTGATTTTTGGTTTAGGATGATGTAGCATCAAGTTTGTATTTTTGTTAATCAACAATCAACTTATTAATTTAAATGCTGACAACTACAGTTTATTGTAGACAATCATAACTAGCACGAAGTTTGTCCACTGGACAACCCAGTCTGTTAAGTCTTATTTCGAACACTTTAAATAAAGTCACTTTTTTGTCCAATCCACTAAAAGCAGAGATCAAATTCAATCGAAATGTTCTTATCACCACTTATCAATACTTACATAAAAACAAATACTGACTGGTATAATTCTTGCATTTATGATTTATTATTAAGCTGAATAGAATAGTTTTCACACACACACACAGTGAATTTGATATAGCCTATAAAAACAACTAACATTTTAGCAGATTGTGCATCAAGTATAATATCAATACTGGTATTAGTTATGAGATTAATTTGACTCTTCCCATAATATATTTTTGGTTGAAAGAAAATGTTAACACCAATATAAGAGTTCTTATACAGCAAATTGTGTATGATTCAATTAAGAGTAACATTTAAAAATAGACATTGAATGACAATGGTTGATCCAATGGTGAAAAAGAATCCTACATTGGAAAGTATCCAGGAGATCCACTAACTTGTATATTTTTGGTTGGAATACAGGACTGACCAAACACTAGTGTTCTGGGAGAAAAATCTGAGTCTAAAAACAATGGAGAATGAGATGCACTTTCAATCCCCACCACTTTAACTAACAATATATAGAAATGGATTTGACTACATAAAATTTTATATGTTAGTTTCAAAGATCAAAGTGCAAAACTTCCACAGAAGGGCTACTGCTGATACTAATAGGGATTTACATTCTTAGAACAAAGTTACTACATGAACCAATTAGTGACAGGTAATGAAACTGTGCTACTCTGCTTCAATATTAAATAATAAAAAAAATACAATAGCATCGAAAATAAGCATCCTAAACAATCTAGTAAGGGAAGGAAATGAAACTTCAAACTATGATAACCCCAGATATGGAATATATAACATTAGCAAGATCCTCAAAAAAGCTGTGCCAAGGCAATGAAGCACTGCACTGCCTCCACAAGACATTGGAGATGGTTTGGCTGAGAAAGGCTATCTCCAAACTGAAAAAGATGTGGGAGGGCATTTACTTTTACTTTCAATTGTAAACTGTAATTAAAGTAAAAGAAATCACACACATTTGTTATTCTCAGTTTCACAAATTTCCTTGTGAGTAATGGGCAGGAGCAACAGAATAACTGAAAATTTGCCAGAAAATATGATATAGGCCAACATATGAATTCTATTAACCTTGATTGAGACTGGATACAGTATATCACACAGTTTAACAATTAGTACTTAAGCATTCGCTAACACCAATCAAAGCTTTTAAGGGCAAGTGTATTTTGCCACCTTAACTAGCATGTGTTCAAATCAACATCTTTGGTTGTATTAAATTATCTGTAAAATCATATCTTCTCATTCTTAATTGTCTTGTTCCTGACCAAGAAAACATGGCATTATAAAGGAATAACAACAATGCCATTTATTCTCAGAGAGCAGCCACCACACACATTGCTGACAGCCACTCTCACTAAAACACAAAACAAGGATGTCTTAAACCTTGGGTATCAACTGAGTTACCAGTGGAAACGATCATGTTGCTTTTGTCATAGTATGTGCTATGTTACAGTAATCTTTCCTATCAGAAAGCACAATACCCGAATTGAATGATCTAGTTCTGTGAGTATCTCAACATGTAAAGAAAATCTGAAAAATTCATATATTACATATATTTTGCAACCATACTTCTCTTTCCTTAATCTTCAGGTTGACCTGGCTGTCCTACCTTAAAATTTGAAAACCAATTAACTCTTTCAGCACGGGCTCGGTCCCTGGGACCGACCTCATAACCATTTTGCACTTGTTATAGTTTTCATGCTATAACTTTTAAATTAGTAAGC